GACGCGCCATGCCCAAGGACGTTCTACCGGCACGTGGCGGGCAAGCAGCGGGGGTACGCCAAGGCGAGCAAAACGGAAAAGATTGGGACAGAACAACGAAGATGATGAAGCGGAGATCCTGCGGACGGTCACGGCCCAACAGATCGCCCTCCTCCAGGCGGCGAAGCCCGCCATGCCCAAGACGTTCTACCAGCACGTCGCGGGCAAGCAGCGGGCGTACGCCAAGGCGAGCAAAACGGAAGAGATTGGGACAGCACAACGAAGATGATGAAGCGGAGATCCTGCGGACGGTCACGGCCCAACAGATCGCCCTCCTCCAGGCGGCGAAGCCCGCCATGCCCAAGACGTTCTACCAGCACGTCGCGGGCAAGCAGCGGGCGTACGCCAAGGCGAGCAAAACGGAAGAGATTGGGACAGCACAACAAAGATGATGAAGCGGAGATCCTGCGGACGGTCACGGCCCAACAGACCGCCCTCCTCCAGGCGGCGAAGCCCGCAATGCCCCAACACGTTCTACCAGCACGTCGCGGGCCAGCAGCGGGCGTACGCCAAGGCGAGGAAAATGAATGAGATGGGCGCATCTCAGCACAGTCCTCGCAGCATGCCTCTGCTGTTGCTGCAGTAGAGCACGGCCATGACAACGCTCTGGTGCTGGCGTTGCTGGTCTTCTTGTCGTCGAAGATATTCTTCCAGAAAGACTGAGGGGGCACGTGCAAGTGTGTGCATGCAAGCGGGAGAAAGGCATTGTGGGACCGGGCAATGCATATATGTTGTTCGCGACCACATGTCCGCCGCTGAGGCAAGCGCGGCATCCTTCCCACTGCATGTATCAAAGTACACGCTTCCCTCTCAGTCCCGCAAAAACGTGAGCCGCATCCATGTCCCCATTTAGAGAAGGTGCGCTTGCCATGAGTGGGCATCTGCTCTTCCAAATATTGTAAGATCCTATGCGGTGTTGGACATTCAACTCGAACTGGGACTGCAGCCGTTGTATTCCTCTCTGGCCATGTCGCACGCGGGCTAGTGCATCCAAAGAGCAAGATTTCATCAACAATATAATGGACACCAACAAAACCAATTCCGTCAAGGTGGGATAGGATTAACGCTTGATCACCACCGTGTTTGTCTCATCCTCGCCGTGGTGGGCGCGTCGTCGAATTACACAGGCGAACCGCACTACGGCATGAATCGCGAAATGATATTATTGCTCCACCCCTCGATCTTACAGCTGTAGTAGACAATGTACACCAGGCTATTTGCAACCCGTCCCTCTGCTTTCCCGCGAGCTCCAAAAATCAGGGAGAGAGAGAGAGCAAGATCTGTGAGGATGCGTACGAACAAGAGCTGATAACCTCGCCGAAAACAATAAAAACACGTGTTAACACGTGCACGAGTCATGTCCGTGCCTTCGATGCAGGCGACACCGGCTCCGGGGGCGGCGGAGGCGGAGGGGATGGGTTTGGGCTGAACGGCGTTCTGTACTCGATCGAAGGCAGACGAGCACGTTCCCCCGATCGTCCCAAGATCGATATCGAATCATCCCTCAGTCATCTCAAGAGCTCCATCAAACCACGCATCAATCGTCCCAAGAGCACCCCGCAATGGTGCTCCGAACCCTGCCTGTGCATGTGTGCATGGCTCGTCCGATCACCCTGAACCCGTCGCACACGCGCGCTCCCGGCGACATCTGCGCGTTCTTGTCGGGGAGAGCAAGCTCTCCCCGACCGCCCCCTACTGGTGGTCCCCCCAGTACACTGCGTTCG